TACTTTAAAGGGCCTGGGCCATCGGCAGACCCAATACTATTTTAAAGCTTTCTTCTGAAATGGGGGAGGCAAGCGCGGGCTGGGCTCGAAGCCAAACCTAGTGTTGGGCCAAGAGTGCATGACCACCACAACGTTCCAAAGGGTCCAATACTAGACCCAAGATCGAATTTCAACGTTAGGAAGAAAACTTCCATTGTGCAGATTGACAACTTGACAAAACTGGATAGGGCATTAACTGAAGTTATATTTTTCGACAAAAATACTTTTTTTAACAAAACTAAGGAGATAAAATTGTATGACAAGAGGCCGACGTTTAAAGGAAAATACTAATCAATGTATCAGAAAAAGGTGAGCAAACCAACACGGTTCAAACAAATTGGAATACATTCCATAGCCTGTTCCAACAAAGATATAGAAAAAAGTTCCTACATACATCCCATGCTTGAAGAAAATTAACAAAGACAAATACCCTTGTTCCATCTACTAATGCTTAGCAATCAACTGGAGTTCATGACAGAAAACATGGACCCAAATCTTAAAGTACATGATTATGAATAACAAAATCAATTAAACTACACTATAACACTTTGTGAACTACCCAAGCATGAATCCGAAGATTCCAACCTATCAGCATCTGAATGTACCAAACAAACAATCTATTTACATCGCTAAAACAAAGTGAATATCTACACCACTAGAAAATTGTAAACGGATTTGAATAGAGGTGAACTCAAACAATCTTTATTCAAGGAACACAAAATTTGCATCACTCCAGTCAGAAATGGTAACTGATTACAGCAAAAGCAACAAAGAAAATAAGCCTGAGGTTAGGATGAAACAACAGCAATAAATCAGCAGCAAAGGAAATCGCAGTAACAACCACACAACAGCTTCTAAGTCAAGCCATGCTTCAGCTTTTGTAAATCAAACAAACCCAGGAATTCCAAAGGAGAAACTTTTTCAAAAAAATTCTAATGAAAAAAAAAAGAAAATATGAGAGTTCAGGGAATAACAGAACTGGATTTCAAAGAGGTTTCCAGGGTCTTTGTTTTCTTTAGGAATTTTTTAGAGTTTGTTTTTCGTATGTAAAGAGTAGGGGGAAGGCCTTATTTATACAACAGAAATCTGTTGTGTTCCTTCCAAGACAAAGAGATAGGATTTTTCCAAAATACCCCTCACAGGGTATCTTTTCTAACAGAAAAATGGACAGTTGTCCATAATCTAGAAGCTTCTAAAATGCCTTATCTGGAATTCTTACNTAATCTAGAAGCTTCTAAATGCCTTATCTGAAATTCTTACTTTTCCACTTTCCAATTGACCTCCTAAGTTCTGTTACGACCACTTTAATCCCACCAAATTTCAATTGATGCCAAACAGGGCCAAATTAGCCCGCATAAACTAAAACCAAACTCAAAACCTGTTTTATAACTAATTAGGCAATTAGGTAAGAAAATCATCAAATGATTTCAAAATCAACAACATAGCTAAGCAAAGCGATTTATGAAACTAATCTAAATAGGCTTGGATTAACCCAAATTAATAAACCCAAACAAAACCTAATTAAACCTAACTAGAAGATTAAAACAGGGATGACTCTCAGATGAACACAAGCAATCTAACAGACTAAAGAAGGTAAGAAATTACTGACTCAAACCAGAGAATATGAAGAATACAGTGGTGAAGCTCTACCTTTTATGCATGAACAAAACGTGTGAGACTGCTTGATGCCCTACTCTGCGCTAATTGACCACTCAAAGGTCTTTTCTCCCAAGGAACTCGGCCTTGCATGGAGCTTTGATCGGATTTTTTGGAAGAAAAGACTCATGAGAGTCTAAATCTTCTAAGAACGCCAACAGACGAACCCTCAAACTAGGACGCTAGGAAATGGCGGACCCAACGGTTCCGAACAAACTGACCCCTTCTTAGATCTAAAAATTAGGGCTTTCTAAGGTGTTTTGGAAAGAACTATTTTGAGATATGAGATGAGGAAGAGGATAAGGTTATGGGGTGTGATTTTTGGTAGGTTTAGAGGAGGCTGAGTGGTGGCCGTCGGTGAAGGGTAAAAGGGCGGCTAGGGTTTGATGGATTGGACTTGAGAGAGACGGAATGGGTTGTGAGTTTAGGGTTTGGGGGGGGATTGAGTTTGGACAATTAAATATTACATCGGTACCCAGTTCACAGCCGTCGGATCACACAAAAGCAACGGCTGTGATGATAAGGGCCCCAAAACGGCATCGTTTGGTACGGGGTAAGGCTGGACCGGGTTGTTCCGATTTGAGCCTGGATCGGAGGAGATTTTGGGCGGGTTTTAGGGTAAAAAGCTTGGGCTTCAGCATTTGGCCCAAGTTGGGTTTTAAGATCAAATCCTCATTCCCTTTTCTTTCTTTCTTTTCAATTATTTTTTTCTTTTCCTTTTTAAATTAATTAAAAACCTAGATTAAACTCTTAAATTAAATTAATTTACAAAATTAAGCTAATTATCTACCATAATATTTACCAAAATTAATTACTCCTAAATTAAAAGAGGAAATTGTTAATTTAAAATTAAAAGGCTAAAAATGCAAAAGTAAGCCAATTTTTGTGATTTTTCCTTTTTTTATAAAATAAGTAATTACTGATTAATCATAAAATGTAAAAACAAAACCTAAATGCAATGCATGGTATTTTTGACATTTTTCATGATTTTTAAATAAAAATAATTGTGCACAAAAATGCAAACAATTAATTAAAACTCCGACGAAAAATCTATAAAATTACAAATAATGGGAAAAAAAATATTTTTTAAAATTTTATGAGAGTAATTTCTATATGGCAAAAATTACGTGCTCACATATTTGAGCCCCTGATGTTACACTTGATTCAAGAATACCCTTAATTTGAACGAAGGGACACTTGCCAGCTCTGGATCCTTCCTCAAATTTAAATATTCAGTTCAATTAAAACCCGCCCATAATTAGATCCATTACCCGACCCACTCCTGCATCTTCTCTTTCTTCTTCATAAAAACACCCTTCCACCTCCTATGCCACAATTCACTCTAAAATCATAAATCAAGCAAACAACTATATTCTTGTCTTTTGGAATTAAGTTCATCAAGATGAAGGGAGCTTTCATACGTAGTGCAATCGTTTTCTTTTTTTCCTTTTTTCAGTGGTTGGTGTTAATGTTTCCTTTCTATTTAATTCAACTGTCTATTTTATCTTTTCTTTCTTATTAGAACTTCATATTCGTTTATTCCACTAGAGTGTAACTTATAGTGAATATTTTTGGAATCTTTACGGCTGGTTTCTCAAGTCCGAAATAGTGATGGAAAATTTTGAAGTTGTGAACTAACAATTATTTTTAAATTATTTGAATGTTCGTATTTGGGGACTAAAAATCGAAATTAAATAATATTAGGAGGTGAGATTTGTGAACATAAGTTGAACCACCATTGAAGAAGCTTTGTGAACATATATGAATGCAAAGTCGAAATTATGGGTCAAACTTATTCTTTGTTGCTAATTTGAGTTTACAATGTTATAACACCAATTTGTTGAAGAAACTTAGGACACCATAATATTATTGTTCTAAGATAGAATGGGTGGTCAGGTAATTGATCTCATTTAGGGGCAAATTTTAATTTAACCACATATTTAAATTTGGCGGTGGATACTGCCACGTGTTTCTCCATCCAAATTAAAAATATTGTTAACCAAAGTTTAAGGGTCGGAGCCCAAATATATTAATAGTGAAATGGATGGTAAGTTTTAAATAATTTTTTATGGTAAAAAGGTATATTTTTATAGACATACCTGTCTATAAATCTTCCAAATAATCATCTTTCATGGCTTAACTTGGAAATAACTCTCCTACTGCCATATGGATGCATCATACCTTGGGCTCCACTATTATTCTTGGGCTTTTCAATTCCTAGGCCCAATAGGCCCAACTATCACAAACACTTCTCAGTCACTTCAAACCAAAAATATATTTGCTTGTATAAAACTTTTAAACAGAATACTAGTCATATTTTCCCGATAACAATTTCTATCAACTTAAGAAAATTAAGAGTAAGTCCTAGAAAATTACAAACAGATTATTTGTGTATGTAAAGACTATTTCTCATTGAAAAACACTAGCTTAGCAGTATAAATTTTTCGTGCCAAATTTTAGACACATAAGAGAAGTTTAAGACTAATTGAAGAAAGTTGATTCCTATCACCGGAGTAAATTATTTTATTAATCTTAAATTGTAATTACTAGAGATATTTATATGCAAAATTTAGTAATATCAAATGATAAATACTAAAGAAAGAATTGAAATCGTTTCAGTAGTGGTTTAAATTTCCATCAGTTTATCATTCCTTTTCACCTAATTATTAGAATATTCAGGGGATGGGTTAGGAAGTAGTTCAAATCATACCTAAGAATTAGAATTGGTGTAAAACCAGAAAACTAAGTAATAACAGCATGCTTTAGTCATTTAAAGTCTTAACTCAAGAGTGTGACAAAAATATCGACACTAAAAAGTTCTATATACATGTATATATTATATGAAGGATTGAAGATAAAAGAGACAACCTTTAATAATAAATAAGAAAATAACATATCAGTAAGGTAAACATCCATATCCGTTACACTATTAGCTGCAAAGTTATTTGTAGAAAGTGGAATTCTTCAAGAGAGTTTTTAAGGTACAAAAGATATTTCAGAATGACGAGGATGCCAATATTTTATTCAACCATAATCCATTTGGCTAGAGGCGAATAAGAATTTAAATTGAATAAGTTCGATCTTATAGCTTTAGCACTAAACTCATCGAGTTAATATTTGTTAATAAAATTTTAGTAGCTTTTTTCACATGTATTTATGTTCCGTGATAATAAAAAAAAATTGAGTTCGATTCATACCCATAAGCAATACATTACATTTGCCACTGGCTGCATGATGTGAAAAAGTTGATGCCCTAATCAAACTAGAAAAAGAATTCAATCAAAGGTTTTACTAGCTCTGAAAGTTTTAAATGGATTCAGTTTGTAGCCATAACCAAAATCCCCTTTTTTTTGTGGTTAGGTAAGAACACACTCTTTCAAAATATTTCTTTGCTTATTGGTTTAGTTATTCTTGCAGAATTCTCTGATTAAAGCACACAGACTTCATGCAAGAATAACAATATCTTGAGGAAAAAAGAGTAGTCATATTTTGAACAAAGAAAAAGGAAAGTTTAACTAAGGTAAGGAAAATCTCCATCTTCTATTGCATTATTACTCGGTTTTGGTCCCAAGAGGACCATTTTCTGGGGAATAACTTCTAGCTGTCCCAAATTCTTCTGTCAATCAATTACCATTTGCATTTTCTCCTTATCCTCTGGAAATATAGGACTTTTTCTTGTTCGAATCTATTCAGCATTCTCAGACATAAAAATTCACAAAAACAAAAGAAAAAAAATCAAATTTATTTTTCTTGAAGAGTTTGCACGCACTATAGAAGAGTGGTGAATGGTAAAGGCTCTTTCAGAAAAGGCCTTAGGTGCGCGTCTTGGGAATGGAGCCTTAGGGAGCGTTAACCCCATGATCGGGTTTCTACTGTAAAGTGCGAATCCAAATTAGTTAAGCATGTGGGTTATGAGTTCCGGCCACAAGATGCTTGAAAAAAAGAAGTTTGCCAGCCCCCATCACTTCATTTTCTATTTTTTTAGCTCAAGGAATCAGCTTTTAATTTCTTCTCCCCTTTTTTACAATTAGAAATAATTCAACTTTAAACTTTCATTTTAATCATTTTATCTTTAACAAGAAGATTTTATAACTGCACAAATATCATGGCCCCACAAAGACCCTATAAGCTTTTAAGACCACAAGTTTCAAAAGTCTTCTTGTTTTTTTTAAAGTTTCTAGCGAGTCAAATTATCTCATCTAAATTGAAACGGAGGGATTAACGGGGTCTTTTGTTATTTGACTTGCAGGAATTGATTCTTGATCAGCTAGCTATAGGAACATGATGAATTTCAATCGTCGGCTTCTTCTTCTTGAGACAGAACAGAAAAGTATGCCACCAATAAATAGAAATCAGACAGAAGATTCGTACCTTAATGATTCAAATTTCGACACAAATATGATCATAATCCTTGCTGTTCTGCTCTGTGCATTATTAAGTGTACTTGGTCTAAACTCAGTCGTTCGATGCGCTTTACGTTGTAGTCGTAGGTCGTTGGTCCATGAAAGCACAGAGGAGTCACGAGTTGTTGCTGCTAAAGGCATTAAAAAGAAAACTCTGCGGCAGATTCCTGTGGTGGTTTATGGACGACTGAATTTTCCGGCGAGTGAATGTCCAATTTGCTTAGAAGAATTTGTGGATGGTGAGAAAATTCGGGTGTTACCAAAATGTTACCATGGTTTTCATGTGACATGTATTGACAAATGGCTCTTGTCACATTCATCGTGTCCGAATTGTCGGCATTCTTTGAATGAATTGCAGTCGATTTCTTCACTTGGTAATCGTGAAGCAGCAAGTACGTCTCTATCCCAAGCAAATTGAGGTTGGATGAATGAACTGACATTGTCTGTGTTGCTCTGTTGCAAAATTGAAATCGACTATATAAATTTTCACTGTACAATAGTAAAATACTTTCTCTTTGCTCTGTTAAAATTTGCCTTTTCTTTTTGTTTCCTCTTTGGCCAAATAAAAGATTAAAATGAGATTAACATTGAAAGACGCTAAAAAACATAGAAATTCTCTCTCTATTCTCTCTCGGCGCAAGTTACGGTGAGTCTCTTAACGTGCGCTTTTGCCGGAATGGGGCGGGGAAGACCACGAAAACACGTCAACATGGTACTATTGACTGACCTAAAACTACTGGAGGAGCTTAACAGAGGATCGGGGATGGGGAAATCACCAAACGAGGACCCCAATTTAGGTATCAAATCTGCTGGAACACCAACGAGTGGAGGTAATTCAAACAGAGTAACAATGGCTACACCGGCGGAGAAGGGAATTGATGAATTAGGGAGTAGCTCAGCAACAACAAAGGTGATAAGCAGTCCTAAGGAACAAATTGAGGTGCAATTGAACAAAGTGATGGTTCAAACATATGTTACCCCCACCAGTACCGTAGGGGCGACATCGACACCAGGGACTCATAATAATTCAACATTGAATGGGATTAGAGGGATAGATGATGAAGCGGGTAAGTAGCAAAATGGAGATGATTCCCTAGGGGTTCATACCAAAGCAGCTTCGCCAAAAGGGCAAGGGGAGAAAGCACAAGTGATATCCTGGGCAAATGTTGTAGCGTGTAATAAGCTAGCAGCTAAAGGGATGAATCTCGAGTACATAACTCCAATTATACAAGAGGGGAAGAAAGTTGTGCAATTAGAGAAGGAAGACATTGATGAGGGAACGGTGAACTGGAAGCAATCAATTATCCTCTACGTGATTGGGTACTCTCCTACGATGGGGGTTGTTGAAAGGTTTCGAAATTCACTACAAAGCCTCAAATTTTCTACCATAATGAGGACTATTTGTGATCAGATTCAATAACATAGAGGAGAGAGATGAGGTACTATTATCTGGACCTAATATGATTAACAATAGGCCTGCGATAATGAAGCCTTGAGCTGCTGATTTTAAGTTTAAGAATGAAGTTCTAAAGACTATTCCGTTGTGGGTAAAGTTTCCTAACCTGCCATTATAGTGCTAGAACAAAAGATCCTTAAGCAAAATTAGTAGTGGGCTAGGTACGCCATTGTATGCTGATGATGGCACTACAAATACTACTCGCATATCATATGCCAGGGTCCTTATAGAGATGGATATCACAAAGGAACTGCCTAAATGTATACTGGTGCTTGATCCAAATAGGAATCAATTGGAGCAAGAAATTGCTTATGAATGAGAGCCAGAATTTTGTGGAAAATCTTGCAAGTAGGGCACTCCTGTAGTGAAATGGAAGCCCAACGACCTCATGTACAGCAAACTAGAGGTAAAGTGCCAAAAGTGAAACAAGTGTGCAGGAAGAATGCCACAGGTAACCAGGGTGTGCAACAAAATAAGGTTGATCCCAGTACTGCCAACCTAGAAAAGCAACCTGAGGTAAGCACTATGAGTAAAGAGGCTCCAAATGCAAGTGCGCAACAAGAGGAATGGACAAAAGTGACAACAAAATCAGCAGCCAAAGCTAAGAATACAATCACAGAGGAACAGAATGTTAGGACCTCTAATGGATTTAACCCATTACTGAGGTCGAATGATCAATATGAGTATCATATACAAAAGAGGGGGATGTTAGGGACAATACAACTACACTAGTGGGACAGGGGATACCAACTTCTATCATAATCAATGATGAACTTGGTGACGTGGAATGTGAGAGGCATGAATAAAATATATAAGCACAAGGAGATGAAGGTGTTTATGAGGGAGAATAAAATTAATTTCGTTGCTATAGTAGAACATAGAGTACAACAACATAAAGATGGGAAGATAATACAAAAAATAGCTCACTAATTGGAACTTTATTTCAAATGTCAATACAATCACAAAAGGGAGGATATGGGTACTCTGGGATCGTAAATATGTTGGATTTACAATGCTGGATATGGATCCTCAAATAGTGCATGGAACAGTGAGAATATTTGCTATTAATATAGCTTTCACATTTACGGCTGTCTATGGTTTACACAACATAAAGAACAGGGAAAGGTTATGGATGAAACTTAAAGCCTTGGAAACTACTCAGCAGGGACCATGACTTATCATGGGAGATTTCAACACAGTGTTGCATCCTGAAGACAAACAATTTGGAGACCTTGTATAGGAGGTGGAAATCAGATATTTCAGGGACTTTCTGTTTGATACTGGTATGACTGAATTACAATATATGGGTAGAAACTATACTTGGACAAACAATCATGTCTACAGTAAAATTGATAGAGCAATAGTAAATGGAGATTGGATGACCATAATGCCAACATTGCAAGTGCGAGTAATGGAACCATACTTCTCGGATCATTCCCCTCTAAGCATCCAATTTGGAAGGAGAAGAGGCAATGGAGGAAAACCATTTAGATTTTTGAACTGCCTAGCGGATGATGAAAGGTTTATTCCCCTGATAAAACAGTGCTGGTGCAAAGAAGAGAATTTGAGCAGCATAGGCAGTATCTAGGCAAAACTTAAAGAGGCCAAGTAAGAGCTTAAGACATTAAATACACAACACTATATGGGAGTAGATAAGAAGCTGAAATATCTTAGGGACTAATTAGAGGAAGTCCAGGAAAAGATGGATACCAACTTGAGGCAACATGAGCTAATTGAGGAAGAAAAAAAAGCTGAAAAACCAAATAGAGAAGAGGGTCTATATCGAAGAAAGTATATATAGACAGAAGTCTAGGGTGAAATGGTTACAACTTGGAGACTTAAATTCAACATATTTTTTTGCAAATATCAAGGGTAGGAACTCACAAAAGTACATAAGGGAGCTGAATAGTCTGAAGGGGCATTTGCTACAAACAGAGAAAGACATAGAAGCTGAGATAATTGACTATTATAAATCCCTACTGGGAACTGCTTCCAAGGTTGTGCCAGCAATATAATTGCAAGTAATAAAGCAGGGGCCAACTCTGAGAAGAATTCAGCAACTTAAACTGATTGCACAAGTAACAAGAGAAGAGGTAGAAAAAGCTCTATGAGGGATAGATGATATGAAAGCTCCCGGAGCAAATGGGTTGAATGCATGTTTTTTTTCAAAAAAGCATGGCCTGTTATTGGAGATGAAATCACTAAAGCTGTCTTGCAGTTCTTTGAGACAACAGACATGTTCAAACTAATAAATTGCACGGCAATAACTTTGATTCCAAAAGTGAAGACCCCATCATCCATAAAGGATTATCGACCTATATCTTGTTGCACACTCTTGTACAAAATCATCTCAAAAATACTTGTCTAGAGACTCTAGAAAGTGATGGATGAGCTGGTGGACAATTCTCAATCTGCTTTTGTCCCAGGTAGAGTCATTTCTGGTAATATAATCCTAAGCCATGAATTGGTGAAGGGTTATGAGCGGAAAGGGATCTCCCAAGATGTATGATGAAATTGGATATGCAAAAGGCGTATGACTCAGTAGAGTGGGTATTCTTAGAACAAGTGATGGATGGTCTGGAATTCCCAGGAAGGTTTACAAGGTGGATCATGCAATGTGTGAAAACAGTCTCCTACTAAATACTGATAAATGGTCAGCCTTACAAGCCCTTTGATTCCAAAAGAGGACTAAGGCAAGGTGACCCCCTATCGCCTTTCCTATTTGTGCTAATTATGGAATACATCACTAGAAGCCTCAAAACTCTTAAAAACAATCCAGATTTCAATTATCACCCTAGATGCGAATATAAAGATTGTACAACTTGGTTTTGCGGATGATATTCTTCTTTTATGCAGAGGAGATGCCATGTTTGTCCAGCTCTTATTTGATTACTTTCTAAATTTTTCAAAGGCTTCTGGATTAGTAGTAAACAAGCAGAAGAGCTCTATTTACTTTAGTGGTGTTCTTGAGGTAGTGCAGAATGACATCCTGACAAAGCTGAACTTTACTAAAGAGCAGCTACCAGTTAGATATCTTGGAGTCCCACTAAGTACAAGGAGATTAACTGTTGTACAATGCTACCCTCTTTGGAGAAAATGCTAGGAAGAATTGAATCATGGACTACAAACCACCTATCCTATGCTGGGAGGGAACAATTGATAAAAAGTGTCCTATTTTCTATACAAACTTTTTTGGCTCAGGTGTTTGTTCTCCCAAAGAAGATTATTCACTTGATTGAGGCAGCGTGTAGGAAGTTCCTTTAGATAGGGGGAGCTGAAAATAATAATAAGAATTTGCTGGCATGGGATAAAGTTTGCAGACCACTCTCTGCAGGGGGACTAAGGCTGTATTGTGGTCCGGGCCCGGCCCGGGACCGGCCCAGGACCGCGGGCCAAACGGGCCGGTTCAAGCGTGCCCGGTCTCTAGTGGTGCATAAGCCCGTAACGGGCCGGTCCAATCCAAATAGCCCGTGAGCCCGGGACCATTAAGCCCGTGACCGGAAGGCGGGCCTGGGCCGGTTCAACCGGGACCACAGGCCAAACGGGCCCCAACGGCTATTTTTTTAAAAACAAAAATTTTAAAAATGACCAACGGTCAGGTTTTTAAAATCTAGCCGTTGGCCATCAAAATTCAACCGTTTGGCACTTTAAAAAATACCCATTTGGCCCCCAAACTTTTTATAATTACACTTTTTTCAATTCTCAACTATAATTACCCTCCCATTCTTTCATTTTTACTCACAAATTCATCAATCTCTCTCTAATTTTCTTCTATAATTGCTTACTTTATTATTGCAATTTCGTGAAAAATTATGAAGTTGGTGAATTGAAGTATTCAAGTCTTCAAGTCTTCAACGATATTCAATTTTCAAGAAGTTGTTCGTCAATTCGGTAAACTCGTTCCAACTCTTAAGTTTTAATATTATAGTTTTGTTAGTTTTATTTAGTATAATTATAATTAATATGGTATTTTCTTTGAAAATTTTTTTTGGTGGTAAGGGTAAGGGAAAATCTAAAATTGGTGAATCTAGTAGCCAAGCTACTACTCTTCCCTTGGCTCCCCGACCCAGACCTGTTACCCG